AAAAAAAAAAAAAAAAATTCTTAAATTTGTTAAGACATATTTTGTGGCCTAATAAGTGGTCTTTCATAAAGTATGTTTCAGGTATGCTTGAGAAGAATATCTATTCTGCCATTATTTGGCGGAGTGTTCTGATTGTTTCTGTTAGGTCAAATTGGTTTATAGTGTTGTTCAAGTCCTTACTTCCTTCTTATTGTTTCCATATGGGTGTTCTATCCATAATAGAAAGTGTGGGATTGAAGTATTGCTTTCTAATTCTCCCTTCCATTCTGTCGATGCTTGCTTCATATATTTGGGAGCTCTGATGGTGGGTGCATAAATAATTGTTATATCTTCTTGTCAGTTGATCCTTTTATCAGTGTATAATATCCTTTTCTGTATCTCTTGACAGTTTTTGTTTAAAAGTCTATTTTTCCTGATAGAAGTATGACCGCTTCTGTTCTTTTTTGGCTACCATATACATGAAATATCTTTTCTGTTCTTTAATATTCAACATATATATGTCCTCAGATATATCCAGTCTCTTGGGCTGGGCGTGGTGGCTCACACCTATAATCCCAGCACTCTGGGAGGCCAAGATGGGTGGACTGTTTGAGCTCAGGAGTTAAAAACTAGCCTGAAAAATATCAAGACCCCATCTCTACTAAAAATAGAAAAACTAGCTGGGTGTTATGGTGGATGCCTATAATCCCAGCTATTCAGGAAACTGAGGTAAAAGGGTCACTTGAGCCCAAGAGTCTGAGGTTGTTGGGAGCTATGACACCATGGCACTACACCCACAGTGACAGAGTGAGACACTTTCTCCAAAAGAAAAAAAGTGAGTCTTTGGGCAGCACCTGTGGCTCAAAGGAGTAGGACATCAGCCCCATATGCCGGAGGTGGCAGGTTCAAACCCAGCCCCAGCCAAAAACTGCAAAAACAAACAAACAAAAAGTGAGTCTCTTACAGACAACATATAGTTGGATCTATTTTTAAAAATCTATTCAACCAGTCTATGTCTTTTGATTGGGGTATTTAATTCATTTTCATTGAAAATAATTACTAATGGGATCCCAGGAATGGTGGTTCATACCTGTAATCTCAGCACTCTGGGAGGCTGAGGTGAGAGGATTGCTTGAGGTCAGGAGTTTGAGATCAGCTTGAGCAAGAGCAAGACACCCATCTCTTCAGAAAATAGAAAAATTGGCCAGGTATGGTGGCTTGTGCTTGTAATGCCAGCTACTTGAGATGTTGAGGCAAGAGAATTGCCACAGCCCATGAGTTTAAGGTTGCTGTGAGCTAGGCTGAGGCCACCACACTCTGGCCAGGGTTAAGCACTGAGACTTTGTCTCAAAAAATAAAAAATAAGACTGAGGTGTGGTGGCTCATGCCTGCAGTCCTAGCATTCTGGGAGGCCAAGGTCGGAGGATACCTTGACCTCAGGAGTTTGAGATCAGCCTGAGATAGGGTGAGACCCTTTCTCTATTAAAAATAGAAAAACTAAAAAGAAAAAAAAAAAGAAAAACTATGGCTCAGTGCCCATAGCTCAGTGGTTAGGGCACCAACCACATACACTGGAGCTGGTGAGTTTGAACCTGGCCCGGGCCTGCTAAACAACAATGACAAAAACAATAATAAAAAAATAGCTGGGTGTTGTGGTAGACGCCTGTAGTTTCAGCTACTTGGGAGGCTGAGGCAAGAGAATCACTCAAGCCCAAGAGTTTGAGGTTGCCGTGAGCTGCGACAACAGTACTCTACAAGGGTGATGTAATGAGACCAAAAAAAAGAAAGAAAGAAAGAAAAACTAGCTGGCATTGTGGTAGGCACTTCTAGTCCCAACTACTTGGGAGACTGAGACAAAAGGATCACTTGAACCAGAAGTTTGAGTTGCTGTAAACTACAGGCACTTGACCCAGGGCAACAAAGTTCAAGTTGTAGTTGAGCCCTTCACCCAGAGGGTGTGCTGAACACCCTCAAGCTGTGCACATTAGGTGAGATCCCACCAATCACCCTCCCTCTTCGCCGCCTTCCTTCTTCTTACTCTCCCTTTCCCTTACTAGACAATACTCACATTTTTCTTTTGTGTGGGCTTGTAGTTGTTTATATATTGGTTTCATATTAGTATTAAGTACATTGGATACTATTTTGCCCCATTCTTGTTTTACTAGGAAGAATGTGATTCAACTTCATCCAGGTAAACACAAAAGATGTAAAGTCTTCATCTTTTCTTATAGGTGAACAGTACTACATGGTATACATATACCATAGTTTGTTAATCCATTCATGGGTTGATGGGCACTTGGGTTGATTCCACATCTTTGCAATTATGAATTAAGCTTCAATAAACATTCTACTACAGTGTCCATGTGGTAAAATGGTTTGTTTTCTTCTGGGTAAATAACCTCATAATGGGATTGTGGGATCAAACGGAAGGCCCACTTTTAGTTCCTTGAGAATTCTCCATACTCATTTACATAGAGGTTGTATTAGTTTGCATTTCCACCAGCAC